AGAAAGGATGACTACGAAAGATGGCCGAGATATCCCTGGTATCACACCTAGCCGTATAGAGTTATGAAAGAACGAGAAAGTATAAGATAACACGGATGATGCAGGTAGGTTGAAATGTTATGTGCGGACAATTGATACAACTATGAAGTGATGATAGATAATGACACACAAGAAACTCAACCAAAAACGTTATAGATACTATTAAGAAGAGGAGAGAGCGGAAGTTATCTTGATTAATCCGTTACATTACATGGTAACTCGAAAAGGAAAATTCGTCTACCTAACTTCTCGATATCTCACGAGTATTTGTGGGAGATATTGATTTTTAAAAGCTCTTCTTCAGGTTACCAAGATCCACAATTTCAAATCTATAATCGATTTCTCACAATTGATCACAACGATTTCTCTTCAGAGAAAATCAATATTTTCTTGAAATAACTTTCTTTTATAGAGACATAATGGTGACGAATGGCGAGAAACCGGTTACAACTAGGCATGTACCGAGCACAAATAATTCGGAATCGGTTAGGCTCTGCATATGCCAACTTGCAGGAATGGTCACGTGTTTGGACGTTGAGTGGTAGTGAAATGAATGCGAACGTGTAATCACTACTAAATAAATGATGCCTAACAGAAATTGAACTGAAAACAGAACTGTCCATCAGTAGCGTAGTATCAAAGGAAGAAGAATGAAGAGTGCTGCTAGAAGATTTCTTTACTCGTCTCTTCTCTACGCTCTTGCGAATATAGCTGATAAGTAAAAAACAAAAAGAAAGAGAGACCGAAAGAAGACAAAATTACCGAAGAAAAACTATGAGAGAAAAAAACAGAGACAAATATCTTGAATAATGTGAAGGCATGTGAGTAACATGTCTGTAACAAGCGCCTATACAATCAAAGAATTCTAAAAATATTGAAAATGAATAAAGACAGTGGAACTTATTTGATTCGATCTATTTTTGACTTTGAAAGAAAATTCTTGCTGCTTTAAATTCTGTTTTGTACATCTAAGGATAGTTGTATATTAGTTCCACATTTGAGTACTATCAGAAGCTGTGCTGATTAAAAATATATTACATGAAGCATTCAAGAAGATTGCAATATAAGTCCAACATATATGAAAACTTGCAGCGTTGTATATACTTCCACAAATATATACATTCGCATATGAAAATCCATAAGATCTTACGAACATGCTTTTAGAGCACAATAATTATTTTATTTCAAAGCTGAATACAACTGCGCCAATCATCACGTTACTCTAGTTTAGATATAGGCACTCTTTCTGATATCATTCTAACTTTAGCAACAATACCTGATTTCGTTGGGCTCTACTTTGTCGGTGCAATCACAAAAAACCACGTAACTGTTTTAACCTTTGACAATAAATATAATCAAAAGCATTGCTTGTATTCTAACAAATTGCGAACGCACGGCGTCTCATATTCAATATTGCTGCTGACATCGAGACTTCCTTGCCTGGTTTATTGTATTTTCTTTCGTGGGAAGGAACAACTGTGGCATAGACCAGACCCAGATATGAATGAGTTATAAAATATGAAGTAGATTCTTGTTTGAAACTTGTTTGTCTTTTGAAACTTTCTCTCTAAGAAAGTATGCGTCGGACCAGATGAAAGAGAGTTGATAGCAGTTGTCGTTGTTACTGTTCTGATACTACTAGTTATTTTTCTCGATGATAATAATGTACAATGAGAGTGAAGGTGTATCACGAGCAACCATGACATCTGTCGACTTTGCTTAAGACCCTCATCAGATAGTTTTTGATTCTATAACTTTTTAAATGATTCGAAGATCACAAATAAGTTATATAATCGACAATTCTACAAGAAATTCGTAAAAGAATGCAGCAAAGTAGCAGATATCTGTATTTCAGTGATGTGTCAAGCGCAACTATAATGCGTTTCGACCTTGTTTAAAGATGTCATCAGATGGTTTTTGACTCTTTGGCATTCTTAAATGAGCGAAAGGGACAGCTGTCGCGTAGCAATCGCTGATTGGATGTTTCAAGTATTTTGAAGGATAAAAGTGACTCTGGTTGTGTTTCTATGATGATCACTCGAACGGATAACAATAATTGCATTCAGCTCTTTTGTGCTGTTTTGATTATATTTGACATGATCTTGATGGTAACAATCGCAGCATAAGAATTAGGTTATATGCCATTATCTTCTTGTGAACAATACCTAATCAATAGGTCTGTACGCTCGCTAGAATTTTTCTCATAGAACAGTCTGTTATAAATGTAAAGCATATTCTATTCACTGTGCCTGCCTTGTGCATTTGAGACATGAGTGTGTACAGATCTAAGCGTGAGAGTATGGGTGAGTGTGAGTGTTTCACTCTACAAAAACGTACTCCTGGAAATCTACAGAGTTTCCAATTCTGTCATTAGATGAAACCTTGTATAGGTTTCTGACCTTTCGAATATTTATTCGAAGATTTCAAAAGTCATCAAGAAACGTTACTACAACAAAAAATCTAACCAAGGCTTCTGAGTGTGATTGTAATCTTCTATTCTCACAAACCCACATCTCTTTTCTCATTTTTAGCATTTTGCTGAACGCTTTTAACTATGAATGAAATAAAATCAAGCTTATAAAAATTGTATTCAAATAATTTTTTTATGTCAATGTAATTTTTGTTGCTAGACAGAACTTCAAAATTAATCTAATAAGTTTCATCATTTTTCGAAAATTTTCAGAAAATATTACAGCTATGTTGAAAGAAAAGGAGAGGGAAATCAATCTTGCCATTCTTCGTATTGTTGTAGTCATCATATTAAAAAACATGAAATTCTATTTATTTTTCATTGTATTTGATTGATGTCGAGTGAAAAAAAGAACTATCACCCATGTTGCTGCAAAAATTAAATCAGTAAGAATTTGTCCTTTCACATCTTTGTGTAATGTTTGAACTCGAGCTTCGACAAATATTCTCCACATAGCTAATAATAAATGTATTAAAATACAACCTTTGGAGAAATATCTAAATGAAATAGAAAAAGAAAAAGATTTGATCGAAGCATTGTTCAATTGAATTTTACCGTTGAAATTCAATCTGTTCAACATGAGATACCATATAAAGAAGAATAGCTATGAAGATAAGCATCATGCCAACAAGTGATTCAGATGTTTGTATAAGTTGAGATTTTTCATCTTCATCGGTTAAATGTAATTTTTTTGTTACTTCTTCACCATGTGCCAAACGAGCAAGAGTACTTACACTGAGTACCATAAATGAACCCATGAAAACATTGATAAAAGCATGAAATAAACAAACTATACGAAATAAGGACCATGAAGACATTTTGTGAATATCAAAGTATTTATATGCTGTTTATCTGTTAGCTTGTAGTGATGGTTGACATTTAGTTAGTTTGTTCTTTCTTTTTCTATAAGAACAGTTTTGACCAACGAAAATAAATACAGAAGCCTCCGCAATAAGAATAATAAAAAAAAAAGCATGTTTGATGAAAAGAAAAACTAATTAAAATTATACTTCAATTCAATTATTATTTATTCATAAGGGACGAAGAACGACTTAAGTTTTATTTATTTATATTAAATTGTTTGCATATCTGAAACTCGTTCATTAGCATCTATGGAATGTAGAAATGCCGTGATCCGCCTCAGAAAGACCACAAAAATTTATTTATCTTTTTTATTTTGACTTCAAACTTTGTGAAAGGATTGACTTTAATGAGAATAGATTTTTGTGACTGTTTCAGATCTTTTCGCTGTTCCTATCTTAATATACAAATAAGATAATACAGTGTCTTTTACACTGCTCAGATCAATCGACAGATTTGATACTCTTGCCGTAAAATTGCAGTATCTCCATAACAATGAGCTAAGAATTTGAACTCTTTTTCAGAATATTCATAATCAAAGCTGTCAATTCTACAGTACAATTCATCGAAGGTAGCACAACTTTCACTGTAAATAGCGGTTGTATGGTTGATTATTACCCTTTATTATATTGGTAATAGAAGTGATTTGGTTGATGTAATTTTAATTACTGCTGCTATACGGAGAAGTTTCTCTTACTAATGCATCATAATGTATATTTATATTCAAAACTTGAATGCATGATTCTACATGAATAAAACATGTAATAAAAATTGTAAAAATGATACAGCATACAATTTCTCATAATTAAATGGCAACACAATCAAAGAAAACTTGCATATGTTCACATTGCCGTTTTGAGCTGAGTTTTTCTCTGAAACTCGTCTACACATATTCTTTGTTAATAAATTAAATATCTAAAACAATCGAAGGTGTAGAAATCATAATTAAAAGGATAACAATAGAGAAAGTCATTTTAAAGAAAGAGAGACAAGTTTTTCAATTTTATATTAATGTAGAATTGAAGAACGTATTTAATACTAAATTTAAAAATGGAAAGAGTAATTGATTGCATAGAAAATATATTTGACTCTTTATTTTACAGACTTGTTATATTTCTCTGATTAATTGACGATTCACAATTAGTTAATGAAATAAGTGATTGAATTCGATTTATCGCTGATTATGTTTTTTAAATTTCATATATTTCGAAAAATTTTCAATCAAATATGTCAAATAACTTTGTATAAAACTAAACAAAACAAGATCAACATAAAGAATCAACTTATGAAATTTTCACATTTTTTTTGATTTCATCTTTATTTTTTTTTTCTTGCAGAATACAATAAGTAATATTTTCATCTATAGATAACCACTTATACATGCCATAATCATCATCATCATAATTTTATTCGTTTTTTTCTTGTTACTACAGATGATATCCAATGGTATCAATCAAAAACTTTCATATACTACATTCCATTGTTATCTCTATTTTCTTTCTCGCTCTCTCTCTCTCTCTTCTGGTGGCTCTTTATTCTCAGACATATTCGATTCATTTTTTTCGTACACAATCATCGTTATCTATTGCTAGTAGGTTTGTACATCACTCGTCTTTTGAATATACAAGTAATGGGTGCTAAATTAGGCAAACGTAAAAGTGTATTGGTTTCAGAAAAAACAAATGAACAAGAGAAATCAGTGTTCACAACTTCAAATAACCATATAGATGGTACAACAACACTTGAAAAAATGTTTAAAAAGACGACAGAAAAAAATTCGGATAAAAAATCATCAAATCCAAAGGTAGATAAATATACAAGTACAGATGGTGGTATAATATCGTCATCATCATCATGTATTAAACAACTTATTGGTAGTGCTAAATATAATAATCGTACTTCTGATGTTCATACTGCTGAAACAAATTCAATTAATCAATCTGAAACACCAAGTAAAGATGTATTAGAATTTCGCGATGCTTGCGTTCGACGTGGTATTATTTCTCCAGAAACAAATAACTTCGCTTTACTAACATCAACAGAACAAAATTATCAAGCAAATACTGTCGATGAATCGACACATGAAACTTCAACAACAGTCGTTATGAATAATGAACAAGTTGAATCGTAAAAAACAAAATACAAGTAATAATTGAAAGATGTTTTCTTTTATTTATACTTTAAAAAAAAATGTAATTTTGTTGTTGTTTAGAGATTAAGAATATTAGTCGAAAAATCTACTAAATCAATACATTTTTCAATCATTGAACTCAAATTTGATTAATCAAGATTCATCATTTTCTTTTCTTTAGCCTCATTTTATGTTAGTTATTTGTTTTCTATTGTAATAGAATATCTTCATCATTTCATTGCATTATTCTTTTAAAAAATTACTCTAATTGTTTATATTGCTTCCATGATAATTAGGATCAAATCGAGATACGTGTTTATTTTTTCTTTCAACCATATCGTTCTTAGAGCTCAGGAAAAGCATAATACTGAAAGCACTATCAAAATACGTGTTTTTTTTTCAACAGTACTAATTTTTTAAAGGCAGCAAAATTTCGTAGGAACAATATTTTGACTCAAATTAAAAATAACGATTTTGAGAAAAACACAAAACAAACTTTCTTGTATATGTCAGGGGTTTATTTCTATGTCTCATGTGATCGAAAGTTAGTTGTGTTACACGACATTAGAAAACCATGAACTGTGTTCTCAACACCTTTAGAAAACTAACACTAGCAGAATTTCACATACAAAGAATAGTGACAGCGGCAGTTTTTCGAAAGTTGATTTTACTAAAAACAATTAAGAATCCTCATTAATACGGCATTTGATAGAGGACACTTTGAAGTTATATTTAGCAATGAAAAATTGAAAAAAATTTAATTCTAACATCCGAAAAAAAAGAGGCTTCTCTTAAGCGATTGAACACTGAGTTGTCAAAATATTATACATAGATACTGAAATTTCTAATCTCAAGAATGAAAATAAAAAATGAAGATTTTTCGACATGGATTTAAGAATTTTTGTATCTGTCTGATGATTTCATGATTCTCGATTTCAATTATTTTGAAACTACCGAACTCTAATCTTAAATCTTGTTTAAAGAAATCATGTTTTTTATGTACGCTACAAAATATTTGATCAACATATTACTATCTCATAAGCATTCAATCAACTTGATTATAAGTAGGAATGTGCACAAAAATTCGTTTTAGAAATTCAGTAAGAGTAACGCATGTATGATATAATACTTCATTTCGATTTTATCATTAATGCCCATTTCAAACAAAAAAAAAAGAAATAACATGTTGTCTGAAGTGCTTATAATCAAATTTGCAAAAAATGTGTTGAAAAAAATACTTCCTTCTAGCATAAGAAAAAGGCAAAAATATGGTTATCTTTCACAACAATTAATTGAAAAATCGGCCGATGATTTTGACTAGAGTGTTTAAGATTTTTGAGTCAGTAATTTGAAAAATATGAAGCTCCCTTAGTGTTGTAAATCTTCAATGGACGATTCGGATGCACACGTGACAATTGAAAATTGACTAGTGTTACCCTACAGGAGACGTTGGCTATCAAAAAAGTTCATTGAAAATCTTAAACGAACTAAATTGAAAAAAAAAACATATACTATACGATTCGATTCGTCTTCGTCTTCTCTGTTCAAAACAAAAATAATCATTTTTCATGCCATATCACAAATTATATTTTTTATTTCTTTACTTAATGCTTTCTATTTCATTCTTAATATATCATTCGGGTATGTTATAATCTGTGTTCTAATCATATAAATCCTCATTGTATTACATATATTCATTAATCATATTATCACGTTCGTTTTCTATGATTACATGCTTGAAATATGTATGCAATCTTTGTGGTATTTTGGTTTTGTTCTAACACATTTTTACAGAACGTTCATATAATTAACATGGTTTCAATGAATAGCAAGAAAAATATTATTTGATTTAAATACTTCATTCTTTTTTTTTTTTTGATTTGTTTTTCATAAAATAGCATAATCACCAGACACATTAAAGACAAAAATAAGTATGAGGACTGAAAGAAATAATAAAAAAAAAAATAAACAAACGCAAAACAGGGATCATTTTCACAATTAAAAATAAAAAAAAAGACAAAAGAAGATATTCTTACAAAATTAATAATAAATACTAATTTACATATTTTATTTCGTATTGAATGATCTTCTATAAATACTAAATCTTATAAACTCTTCATTATATATTTCGATGATAATATAATTTTAACATGACCAGCACGTTATTAATCAGGAAACAAAAATAAAAACATACTTAAAATAATCGGAAAGAATTCTTTTGAAATTATTGACAAAAATAAAAACAAAGAATGTTATCCTATCACTGGTAATATGGAATTTGATGAAGACGAAATTGATGATGATGACTCAACGACAAGAGAAGGTGTTGTTGATAGTGATGAAGATGAACTATATAAACCTTCGACTCGTGTACCTGATCCTAAACGATATTCTTTTCCACGCCATGTAACTGTCGATGGACCAGTAAATGCTTTAAAATAGACATAAAATGATGAAAGTTCTCGAACGAGCCATGCAACAGCAAATTCAAATTTCGAAAAAGGAAGTGGACCACCCTAAACAAAAAATAAAACAACAAATGTTTATTAAGAAAACATAATTGAATTTTTTTTTTTTTTATTAATTTACTTGTGTTATTCGAAGCATAAGATAATCAGAAATAAACCATAATAAAATATGACAAGCAGCAACAACAAGAGCATTCCATTCAAATAAATAATTTGTAACAATACCAGCTAATATAGCTGATGAAAAAGATTCTTGTAATGGTTCTATATAAGCTAAGGGACTTAAACGCATTCTTAATTTACACCATCGAATCATTCGATCAGTCCATGTTGATATAGAATAATTACCAGAATTTTGTTGAGCAGGTGTTGGTGCAACTTGTAATTTAAGACCTTGTTTGGCTATTTCATTTGCTAGATAATAATCTTCAGCAATATAACGACCAAAAGTTTTTAAACCACCAACTCGATCAATACAATCTTTACGTATTAAACAAGACATACCAGTTACACAATTTATATTAATTAAATTAATTGCCATATACATACGAGCATGTTGTGTACCAAAATACACCTAGAAAAGAAATATATTATTAAATTACAATATAAATTTTGTGAGATTAAAATATGAAAAGGATAATATTAACAGAGAAACTTGTGTACCACTATTCTAGATCTATTTTTTAGTTGGTGTCGACTGTTAATATGATTAGTAGGTAAGAAAAATTGTTCTTTTATGATCTTTGCAACAGAATGTAGGTGTGAGTGTGCGACAGATTGTAAAACTTTTGAGAAATATTGCGATAATAATGTTAGATCATTTGGTATGCAAAAAAAATATTATCATTCGACTTAACACGATGAATTCTGTCTATCAACATACTTTTCCGAGTGATAATTTATTCATTGACTGAGTTATCTATTAATCATATTAACAGTAGAGATCAACTGAATGACATGTGTAAAATATTATTTATAAAATATCCATCAAGAATTAATCTGACTGATTCGAATATAGCCAATCAAATATCAACAAGTGTTTATACGTCTGAGCCTTCTCTTTTTAATAGTGAAAATGACTGCAGTTCTCTATTTTGTTTCTATCACAAGTTATTCAAAAAGTGCCCAAAGCTCTTTCTTTTTTAAATGTACAATAGTACGAGTATAATGAGCCGACGTTAATATCCGGTATTTCTCATTACCATAAGCTTCTGCAAGTACAAAAGTCATCTGAATAATAAGAGCAAAAACAAGAACATGTAGCCTTAGGCTTGTCATACATTCAATAAATACTAGTTCTTCTCAATAAAGCATTTCTCATTACAAACAATGTCAGTTGATGGTTTGTATAGAAGCAAACATTCAAAAGCTTTACGTCCCCTTCGATACTACACATTTCCTATGCTGAAGGTAAAAATCTAAAAGGTGTCAAGGTTTTCCTATTCGTTTTATTCTTTTCTTTTTGGATTCAGTATCTAAATAAATTTCAAAGACAAACCTTTTCGACTGTTCCAGCAAAACCTTTTCTATTATGAGTAAATGGCATTTGATGAACAAGGCCAACCTTGTCAGTCATACATAAAGCCATTTCATATAATGTATCTTCATGCATCATTAAACCACTATCTGAGATTAAAAACAATGGATATTGAGCTTGTTCATAAGCTGCTAACATATTAGATATTTTTGGATTAATTATTTCGATATTTTCAGATTTTAATGACCCATCACCGGATGAAAACTTTTTTGAGCCTATATATAAAAAAAATGAAAATTTATATTTATAAAAGAAATTATAAAAAAATGCTAACTATCATTTGGCTAAATAGCCTTTGTGAAGCTGAGATATCAGAATATTAAAGAAACTTTTACTATACATACGACAACATAAAGTTTGTTTTTGTAATGACATCCGTTTGCTTCTTGTTGAAATTTCCTTGATATTTGTCACCAAATGAAAATTATCATTATTCTGATCATCATCATCATCATCATCAATGCCGTTTTCCTGTCTTTTTTCTATTGATTGAGTTCCTATTTGATTTTTTAAAATGATTATTACAATATCTATTTTATATTTGCACACATACCAACAAATAATTGTGATTCGACATGTGGATATTGTGCTCGAAGTCCTTCGATCATATCGATCAAATCACTATCATGTTCTTGTAGACAAAAGAGTATCTCATACTAAAACGAAAAACAAGACATTAATCACATATAAATGAATACTATGAAATAAAATCTATACATACTCGAGGATATTTCATATTAAAAAATGTCTTGAGATTTTCATATAAATTTGAATCAATACATGTTAATGGTTTAATAATTGAGATTCCAGGTAATTCTTTATGGTTATTCGGTAATTTTTTTCGATGAAATTTATAAAACCTAAATTGAAAAAAAAAAAATTTTTTTCTTTTCATATTAATATTCGTTGCTCTGAACAACAATGAATTTCAAGTGACCCTCTTAAACAAGCATTCAAATATCTTTTTTACCATGCGATTGTTTCTGTTTATTAAT